ATCTGCCATGGATTGATCCAGGCTACGCTAAAGAAAGGGTGAAGCCCCAGAACACCTGCAGTACATTGACGACATCATCGTATGGGGGGACACAGCAGAAGAGGTTTCTGAGAAAGGAAAGAAGATCATACAGATTCTCCTGGAAGCTGGTTTTGCCATCCAAAAGAGTAAAGTCAAGGGACCTGCCCAAGAGATCCAGCTCCTGGTAGTAAAGTGGTAAGATGGACGTCGTCAGATTCCAACTGAAGTCATCGATAAAATCACAGCAATGGCCCCACCAACTAGCAAGAAGGAAACCCAAGCTTTCCTGGGTGCCATAGGTTTTTGGAGAATGCATATCCCCGAGTACAGCCAGATCGTAAACCCTCTCTATCTGGTAACCCGCAAGAAGAATGATTTCCAGTGGGGTCCTGAACAACAGCAAGCATTTGAACAGATTAAACAGGAGATTGCCCATACTGTAGCCCTTAGGCCAGTCAGGAAAGGGCCAGATGTGAAGAATGTGCTCTACTCTGCATCTGGGGATAAGGGTCTCTCCTGGAGCCTCTGGCAGAAGGTGCCTGGCGAGACCCGAGGCCACCTGCTTGGATTCTGGAGCTGAAGCTACAGAGGGTCAGAAGCCAATTACACTCCAATAGAAAAGGAGATCCTAGCAGTTTATGAGGGAGTACAAGCTGCCTCAGAGGTGATTGGCACAGAAGAACAGCTCCTCCTGGCACCTCGGCTGCTAGTATTGAGTTGGATGTTCAAAGGGAAGTCGCCCTCTATTCATCATGCCACTGATGCCACCTGGAGCAAATGGATCACCCTGATCACGCAGCGCGCCCGCATTGGAAATCCAAATCGCCCTGGGATCCTAGAAATCATCACAAACTGGCCGGAAGGTGAGAATTTTAGTCTAACAGAAGAAGAAGAAGGGGAGCAGGTGGTACAGGCGGAGGAAACCCCAGCATACAACAAACTACCAGAAGAAGACATACACTACGCACTCTTTACTGATGGTTCCTACCGCATTGTAGGGATGAAACGTAAAGGGAAAGCAGTTGTATGGAGTCCCACACGACAAGTTGCAGAAGCTATGGAAGGAGAGGGTGATTCGAACCAATTCGCAGAGCTCAAAATTGTCCAGTTGACATTGGACATTGCTGAACAAGAGAAGTGGTTAAAACTTTACCTCTACACAGACTCGTGGATGGTGGCCAATGCCCTGTGGGGGTGGTTGGACAGATGGAAGAAGGCCAATTGGAAATGTAGGGGAAAACCCATCTGGGCCGCTGATATATGGCAAGACATTGCTACCCGGGTAGAGAAGTTGATTGTGAGGGTCCGCCACGTAGATGCCCACGTGCCCAAAAATCGAACCAATGAAGAGCATTGCAACAATGAACAGGCAGACCGAGCTGCACAAGTTGGGGTGTCCCAGGTGGACCTAGACTGGTAGCAGAAAGGGAAATTGTTCTTAGAACGATGGGCCCATGATGCCGCCGGCCATCAGGGCAGAGATGCCACCTACAGATGGGCACGAGATCGAGGGGTGGATCTAACCATGGATGCTATCTCTCAGGTTATCCATGACTGTGAGACTTGCGCTGCCATTAAACAGGCTAAGAGACTGAAACCCCTGTGGTATGGTGGACGATGGAGTAAATACAGGTACCAGGAGGCTTGGCAGGTTGATTATATCACACTGCCACAGACCCGTCAAGGTAAGCGCTATGTGCTCACCATGGTGGAAACCACCACTGGATGGCTGGAGACGCATCCGGTGCCCCATGCCACTGCCAGAAATACCATCTTGGGCCTCGAAAAACAGGTCCTGTGGCGGCACGGCACCCCAGAGCTGATTGAGTCAGATAATGGGACACACTTCAAAAATAGTTTAGTTACCACCTGGGCGAAAGAGCATGGCATTGAGTGGGTCCATCACATACCATACCATGCAGCAGTTGCAGGGAAGCTTGAACCGTGCAATGGACTGTTGAAGACTACAATGAAAGCATTAGGTGGAGGGACTTTCAAACACTGGGATCAGTACCTAGCAAAGGTTACATGGTTAGTCAACACTAGAGGCTCCGTCAATCGAGCCATCCCTGCCCAATCAGAGTCCCTTCACACTGTAGACGGGGACAAGGTCCCCGTGCTTCATGAGAGGTATGTTAGGTAAAACAGTTTGGGTTAACCCTCCTCAAGCAAAGGCAAATCCATTAGTGGAATTGTTTTTACTCAAGGACTTGGTTGCACATGGTGGGTGATGCAAGAAGATGTTAAAACCTGGTGCATACCCTAAGGAGATATTATCTTAGGGTAAACAGGCCATAACTGTATCCATATTTGTACCTATATATTTGTGAATGTGTACATAGTTTAGAATGTTGTATGTATGTATGGAGTTCAAAAAATTTAATTTGATAGATGTATGGTGGTATGGGAAAGGGAAAAAAAAAGGAGGGGTGGATAATGTCATAGTTCCGATTTTAGCAAGGAATTTTTCTTTCCCTTCCCGCTGCCGTCTGTGCCCTGTGTATAGGCCATCAGGTAGCTACCAGGTGAACAAAAGAATAGGTCGGTCCACTAATGGCCGAGAGATCAGTCTCCTAGGAAACAGGCAGATGAAGGATCTAAAGTCTACTTTTTTCTCTCGTCTCCTGGGGCAATGGGGGAGGAGGAATTTTGGTGAGCTGGGGGTGTGGCTGGCACACAGGTTGGGAGGAGAGGTTGGAGTGCCAGTGGGCTTGGGACCTGCTGCGAGCTGCAGACGTTGCCTGGTTTTTTTTTTTTCCTGTCGGAAGGGAGTTTGCTGCTACTCTCTGCTCAGCTGTTACTGGCTGCAGGCCCTGCTTAAAGCCAACTCTAACCAGCTGAAGATAATAAGTTTTGTTCCATTGGGAGAACTTTCTGTTTGACTGCTGTTCTTTTTCCCTTCCTTTCCCTTCCCCCCCCCCCACTCCCTCTCTCCTGTCCCAGTGTGGGAAGGGAAGCGGAACCGAGGGGTGTTTTGTTGTTGGTTTGTTGTTGTTTTTTTACTGGACATTACAAGTTCTCCACCTCCAGTGACCCAACAGCGCCACGTGGTGAATGGTACAGGACATCACAAGTTCTGCATCTCTAGTGACCCAACAGCGCCTCCTATTGACTGTGGTTGGAATTACACCAAGGGGTGCAAAAATTGAACTGATTACTCTTTGTTTTGCTGGTTTATCGATTTGTTCTTGAAGGGGATTATTGGTGGGTATAGGAGTATTGCTTGGTTGTTTTCCTTGTTTTTTTTCCCGTGTTTCTGTTAATACACACATACCTTTTAATAAAGGGCTGTTATTTTCCCTTTTCCATAATTTGTTTTCCTTCAATCAGAGTCTCTTAATTTTGGATTTATAATTGCTTAGAAAGAGAAGTTTGAGTCTTTTCTCCTAACTCATCCTCAACAAAAGACCCTTGTCTCATTTAAACTGGGACAAGGAGTTAATGTTTATCTTTTTCTCCCATCTCCTGGGCAACAGGGGAGGAGTTGGGGGTGGGCTACGGTGTGGCTGGAAGAAGGTGGGAGGGGTGGCTGGGTGGAGTCTCCTCGCTCTGCTCTCAACCGAGTCAGCAAGAAGCCTCGCCTGGATTTTTTCCCTGGATAAGAGCTATTGTTTTGTTTCCTGCCCTGGAGGTTTTTTTCTTTTTCTTTTGTTTTTTTTCTTCCTTGCACCATTTTCCCTGAGGATGGAGCCCCGCCAAGAGAGAGAAAGAGAAAGGACTGGGCAGAGCATTTTTTTTGACCAGCTGGAGTAAGTGAAATTGTCTGACCACTTTTCCCCTCTCCATCTTCCCTTTCCCAGTGTGTGGGAAGGGAAAGAAGGTTTCTTTTTTTTGGTTGGATTGGTTTTCTCTGGCATATCCACGTGGTGGGCTCCGGACATTACAAGTTCTGCATCTCCAGTGATCCAACAGCGCCACCTGGTGGTTGATATAGGACATTACAAGGTTTGCATCTCAAGTGACCCGACGGCACCCCCTGCTGACTGTGGTTGGAATTGCACCAAAGGGCGCAAAATTGAACTGTTTACTTTTCCTTTTGCCGGTTTATCAGTTTGTTTTTGAAGGGGATTATTTGCGGATATAGGAGTATTGTTTGGTTGTTTTACTTGGGATTTTTTTGTGTTTCTGTTAATACACACATACTTTTAATAAAGGGATGTTATTTTTCCTTTTCCATAATTTGTTCTTTTCCTTCAATCGGAGCCTTTTAATTTTAGATTTATAATTTTTTAGAGAAAGAAGTTTGGGTCTTTTCTCCTAACTCATCCTCAGCAAAAGATCCTTGTGTCATTTAAACTGGGACAAACAACAGCTAGACTTGACTGCTTTCCTGTTTACTATCAGCATGGTTAAGAAAGGTTAATTTTTACTTGTACTGGACATTTAACCAGATAAACAAGGTATTCTTATCTTCCAACTGATACATACATTCACTTTCTGAATGATTAGCCAGCCAAGTGGCACATTTGCTTCCTGCTGCTCAACCATCCAGCCAAGAAAATTCATTGCTCACAATCCTTAAGGTGGTCAAGTGGCAAATACTACCACCCAACTGTTCATAAACCCAACAAATTGCTTTACAGACCAACACTGTACAGTATGTAAGTAACCAAGAAACTAGGTACTGGTGACTCAGATTTTCATCAGGACAAAGATGATGTTTAATTTCCCTGTATCATAACTTTTGGATGGCTCCAACAGAGAGAAATGGCATAAGAACCATCTACTTATTGTCCTCAAGGACAAGAGTTATGTGAAAGGCAAGTACCAGTTGCCCAACAAGAAACTATTTTCTATCACGCATCATATAGAGTTCTTAGTAATAGATCATATTTTATAGGGAAATCTAAAAACCAGAATGAATACAAATTGACTTAGTGACATGGTGATACTGATACATAAAAAATAGGATGTGCATTTTACATGGTGCATCACTGTACTGACAAGTCCAAAAAAGTATTAAAAAATTCCAAACAAACCTGCTGGAGCTACGAGATCTTCTTGAAGAGCTATAGCTTCTTGTGGGTGTTCTGGATCTCTTCTCTTTCTTTTTTTTATCATCTCTTTCCTTTTCTCTTTCTCTCTCCTTCTTCTCCTTCTTCTCATCTTTCTCCTTTTCTTTGTCTCTGTCCTTCTCTTTTTCCCCTCTGTCCTTATCTCCCTCCTTGTCGTTAATCTTATCTCTGTCCTTCTCCCTCTCTTTCATAACATCATCTTTTTCCTTGTTCTGGTCTACCTCTTCTCTGTCTTTTTCCTTCTCATTATCTTTGTCCTTTTCCCTGTCCCTATCTTTGTCCGTATCCTTGTCCCTGTGTCTATCCCTATCCTTGTCTCTCACTCTCTCTCGATCTTTATGCCGCTCTTTGTCTCTCTCCCGGTCCTTTTCCTTGTCCTTATCCCTGTTTCTTTCTTTATCTCGCTCCCTTTCTTTGTCTCTGTCCCAGTTTCTCTCCTTCTCTTTGTCTCGGTCTCTCTCCTTTTCTTTGGCCTTCTCTTTTTCCTTGACCTTTTCTTTGTCTCTTTTCTTGTCCCTGTGAAAAGCCAAACACAAATTCATTAACTAATATTTGAACTTTTCAATAAAAACTACAACTAACTCTTTAGCATACATTAATTTTTCAAGAGAAAATAGGTGTTTCTGTTGAAAAATAGTAATTATGAAAAATTTTCATTTGTCACCCCTGTTAACCATGAGGGAGAGGTTATACAGATAGGAAAAAATTGGAAATGAAATTGGGGAAGAGGGAGCAAAAATCAAATCAAACTGTGATCTTCAAAGTGATATTATTACACTTTGAAAGAATATGTCTTTTCACCTCACAGATACGTTACCATTCATACATAAATCTTCTACATTTTGTCAGGAGTAAGACAAACTTTACAATTTGTAAATTCATTCTTTACTAAATATGTGTCCATGTAAAATGGACTGCAGATTAATCACCCCTGTGTGAATAATGACAGTTGATGGAACTCCTTATTCTACGATGTTCTCTCACATAAATATCTTGTAACTGCTTGGAAATCCAATATCAGTTAATACACAGAAACAAAAAAACAGGGATAAAATTTCACCACATTCCCTCAAAAGGTAGATGTAAGGTCAAAACTCAACCAAGACAATTCAATTACCTGTAATGTCATTAGAAATTTGAAAATTATTGAAAAATAGGTAAGACCATAAAAACAGAAGCAAGGTAACAGAACAATTCAGTTGCTTTGGGATAGGGAGAATGATACATGTTCATAAAAATAGTGAGAAAAATTCCACTAGATGTTCTAGTAGTCAAGTCAAATAAAAATTTATTAATCATAGAATCATAGAATATCTTGAGTTGGAAGGGACCCACAAGGATCATCAAAGTCCAACTCCTGGCCCTGCACAAGACAACCCTAAGAATCCCACCATGTACCTGAGAGCATTGTCCAAATGTTTCTTGAACTCCCTGGGGAGCCTGATCAAGTGCCCAACCACTTTCTGGGTGAAGAACCTTTTCCTAATGTCCAACCTAAACCTCCCCTGACACAACTTCATGCTGTTGCCTCAGGTCCTGTCACTGGTCACTATAGAAAAAAGATCAGTGCCTGCCCCTCTGCTTTGTGAGTAAGCTGTAGATTGTGATGAAGTCTCCTCTCAGTCTCCTTTTCTCCAGGATGAACAAACCAAGTGACCTCAACCATTCCTCATATGGCTTTCCCTCTAGACCCTTCATCATCTTTGTAGCCTTCCTTTGGATGCTTTCCAATAGGTTTATATCTTTCTTACATTATGATGCCCAAAACAACACACATTTAGATCATAGTTTTGGCTGGAAGATTACATTTTGATAAAGGATTATTTGGAAGCATGAGACTCTGAATCATCTTTCTAACAAAGGAGACACATGACTCCTAGACCTGCATCTAGGATATATATACACTGTCATGGGTTTCTGGGGTTGATTTTTTTTTTTATTTTTGGTAGCGGAGGGGCTGTAAGGGTAGTTTCAGTTAGAAGCTACTGGAAGCTTCTCCTGTCCCATGGAGCCAATGATAGCCAGCTCCAGGACGGACTTCCTGGTGCTGGTCAAGGCCAGAAGCCAATTAGCAGGACAGTAACGCCTCTGTGATAAACATATTTAAGAATAGAGGAAGAGAAGATTGTTATGCAGAAGAAATTCCAGTCCAGGAGAACAAGCAGTCACCAAGGTCGGTGCAGTCGGAGGGGGAGAAAAGGGGGGTGCCTTCCCCCCCCTCCCCCAGAAGCAGGGCAAAGGCTTAAAGCTGAAGCCCCTGCAGCCCATGAAGGACCATCGGGGTGCAGAAACCCTCCTGTAGCCTATGGAGGAGTCCATGCTGGAGCAGGTAGATACATGAAGGAAGCTGTGACCCCCTGTGGGAGGCCCAAGATAGAGCAAAGTCCTGCTGGAGACCTGTGGTCTGTGGAGAGGGAAGCCCATGCTGAAGCACATTTTCCCGGGTGGGAGACCCATGTTGGTACAGCTCAACCCATGAAGGACTGCACCCCCTTGGGGAAATCATCCATGGGGCAACAGATTGAAAAGAACTGTTGCCTGGGGGGTGGATGGACTCACACTGGAGAGGTCCATCAAGGACTGTCTCCCATGGGAGGGACCCCACAGAAGCAGGGGAAGGACTCAGAGTTGCAGAGATCCCCCTGTAGCCCATGGTGAAGACCATAGTAATGCAGGTGTCCCCCTGTAAACTATGGAGGACTTTTGGACTGCAAAGAGCTGACTGCAAAAAGCTGCTGCCCGAGGGATGGACTCAACACCCTGACTGCAAAATACCCCTTCCCCATCCCCCTGCACTGCTAGGGGGGAGGAGGAAGAGATGAGATAGAAGGAGGGGAGGTGGGGGGAAGGTGTTTGAAGACTGTTTTATTTCTCACTCTCTTAATTTTTACCTTGTTAGTAATAAATTTAAGTTCTACCCCCACTTTAAGTCTGTTTTGCCTGTCAGTAAATAACTTCTTTCAGTTCTTATCTCTACTTAGGAATCCTCAGTTGTTTTTTTTTTTCTCTCCTTTGTGTAGTTGCAGAGGGGAGAAAGGAGGGTAGTGGAGTGGTTTTAATAGGCCCCTGGCATCTGGCCAGGGTCAAACCACTACAAACACAGCCCCCACCTTTCTTCATTGGAACAAGTGTCGGGTTACTAATAAATAGTAGGTTTGTTTCATGGTCTATGACCTGAAGACTTTGGTTCCCCCATCAGGTTTTGGCAAATACCTTTTCAGATGTCTCACAGAAGGAATGTATGATCATGAAGATGAATCAGCACACAATCCCTGCAATAGCAAGGGGTTTCACAATGACCCAAGAAGCACTTTCCAGTTATTTATCACAGAGATTTCATTGGATTTGCCCCTTCCAATGAGCAGATATCTCAAGAAGCTCCATAAAACAGCAACAGAGTCAAAAGGATCCATCAACAAAGCCCAGTTATGTAGCCTACCACCTAACTGTTCCCACTGAGGTCCACAGATCTGCAGTTCTCTTTCCCACAAAACTTTTCTCCTCAGAAAACAAGAGACAACTGCACAACCTAAGTATGAAGTTCCCTTTAAATGAGTCAGGGGAATTAAAGAGATGAAACAGAAAGAAAAGTACCAAGGCTTTTATTCATGAAGTGACTTTTATAGGCACTTTTGTTTTGTGAATATTCATTATTTTACCCCTCATAAAATTTAATTATCATCCAAGGAGATAAAGGAATTATTTTTATGGAATTTCACATTTCAATAATTAGACAATCAGACTTAAAAATTAATAGATTAGGTAAAATATAGGTGTATTAGATGCTGAAATGTAAATATGTCACATAACAGACATATGCATTTGTGCCTACAGCAGTGTATGGCCAATATGAAATAGTCAAAGGTAAAAATAAAATCCTGTGCACAAAAACTTTATACATGTTCTCACAATGCAGGATCAAGTTCAGCATGAATCCAAACTATAACTGTTGACAAAGTTGAAGAAGCATCATCCACTTTTTTTGTAGCATAGGTTACACAGAATATAACTAATTCATTGGTTCAAGTCCGGCAATTAAAGTTACCTAATTTCAATCAGCTTGATGTTGGTATAAATGTAGACTAGACTTTGCTATCAAAGTTTAGGCACTTCATTGTTGTGGTTTAACCCCTGTAGGCATCATATGAACTACTAAGAAGAAAAATAACTATATCTCAGCAAAAACCAGTACACTCAGCACAAAAAAATTACTTTCTATTCTTTTGTTCCACAAACAAAGCCTAGGGACAGGCTAAAGCGTTTAGAGATTCCATTCTTTGCCATTACCTAAAAGGTTTGTTAGATTTTTTCAAAAACTTTGGACCATGTGCTAAGAAGAACAGTATAATTTCTGAGGAATGGAACTCACCGAGAATAAGAGGGACTTCTTGATTTCCACTTTTCCCTAGATCTAGACCGTTTTTTCAGGGGACTTCTGGATCTGCATCTGTCCTTATGTCTTGAGAGTGACCTGTTGCCAGATCTACTTCTATATGAATAATGACAAAAGAAAAATACTTTAATATTGAAACTTCATAAAAACTAGATCAACCAAGAAGGAAATAACCCCCCCACTAAATCTTGCCTCACTACATAAAATTATATAGAGTTACACCTCAGTAGGAGCCCCTGGTGGTCTAGTGGTAAGGGTGCGGCGCTGTCACCGTCGAGGCCCGGGTTCGATTCCCGGTCAGGGCCACTCCCAGGCAGGTGGAGCTCGTTAACCCTTAAAAAGGCAATCCATCTACATCCTAAGGACCTCGCTGCCACCGTCCAAGCTCTCTTGGCCCCCGCAGATGAACCTTAGGATTAAAGGGTGGGCTCAGTTCCGCGCACACTGTGTCTCACCTAAAAAATCCAATGCGCAGGCTGGAAGGTGGAAAGACCTTCCCCGGATCTTCACTCGCGAAGACTGGCCATTACACCTCAGTAATATACTGCCTACCAACATTTTCATAAAAATGGATACTTTAAGCTTCACCAGGTGCATATGCTCTCCTTTGAAACAATGCACCATTTAAGCAATACTCATGTACTCCTGACAATATCAGAGGACAACAGAGATGACACCCATGTGCAGTGTGACCAGGTGGATGATCTGCTCAGCCTGGTGGCAGAGTTTAAAGAGGAAGTGGAGAGGCTGAGGAGTGTCAGGGAGTGTGAGAAAAACAGACTGGTGGAGTCCCTCCCTTCCATCCCTAAGAGAAATGCAGCAGATGGAAGCTCGGTAAGAGTCAGAGGAGCCCCAACCCTCTTGCCATCAGGCAGAAGGACAGGACCTAAAAGATGGGGGGGAATGGAAACAGGTCCCTGCTTGGGGTCATAGGAGAATCTCCTCCTGGCCTCCCTCACCTTCCCAAGTGCCCTTACAGAATAGGTATGAGATTTTGGAAATCAAGGGTCAGACAAATGATAACGGAGGTGAAGGTCTATCTGGAGGGTTGCCCAGAACAAGTCAGTCAACCAGATGCATCACAACTATGGGTGTTAAAAAAGAAAGAAGGGTAACTGTAGTGGGTGACTCCCTTCTGAGGGGAACCAAGGGCCCAGTATGCCAATTGGACCCATCTCACAAGGAAGTCTGCTGCCTCCCTGGGACCTGGGTAAGGGATATTACCAGAAGACTCCCTGGACTGATTAAGTGCTCTGATTATTACCCACTGCTGGTTGTCCAGGTCGGCAGCAAGTCCTAGGGCAATCAAAAAGGACTTCAAAGAATTGAGGTGACTGGTTGAACAGACAGGAGCACAGGTGGTGTTTTCCTTGATTCCTTTGGTAGCAGCAAAGAATGCCAAAAGGAAGAGGAGAACCCACCTGGTCAACACAAGGCTTAAAGACTGGTGCCATCAGTGGAATTTTGGCTTTTTTGATCATGGAGTGGTTTATATGGCACCAAGCCTGCTGGAGACAGATGGGGTTTGCCTGTCTAAAAGGGGGAAAAGGATTCTAGCCTGTGAGTTGCCAGGGCTGATTGAGAGGGCTTTAATCTAGGTTTGAAGGGGGAAGGGGATAAGACCAGGCTGAGCAGAGATGAATGAAGGGGTGGCATGCCAGGGTTGGGGGTGAAATCAATAGCCCAGCTGAAGTGCATCTACACCCCACTGACTCTAAAGTGTGCTGGTGTAGTGGGTTTCTGTGGCTGGGTTTTGGCAGTGGGAGTGGGCTACAAGGGAGGCTTCTGTTAGAAGCTGCTAAAAGCTTCCCCTGTCTGGTGGAGCCAATGCCAGCAGGCTCCAGGATGGGATTCCTGCTGCTAGCCAAGGCCAAGCCAATCAGGAGTAATAGTAATGCCTCTGTGATAACATATTTAAGAAGAGAAAGGTAATTCCCAGAAAAGAATTCCAGCCAGGGAAGAGCAGAGAACATGGGAACAACAATGTAGACACCAAGGTCAGTGCAGAAAGAGGGGGAGGAGGTGCTCCAGGCTCCAGAGCTGAGGCCCCTGCAGCCCGTGGTAAAGACCATGGTGGAGCAGGCTGTTCCCCTGCAGCCCATGGAGGACCATCGGGGTGCAGAGACCCACCTGCAGCCCATGGAGAAGCCCATGCTGGAGCAGGTGGATGCATGAAGGAGTCTGTGACCCCATGGGAGGCCCAAGATGGAGCAGGGTCCTGACAGAGACCTGCAGCCAATGGAGAGGGAAGCCCATGCTGGAGCAGGTTTTTCCCAGGTAGGACTTGTGGCCCCTGTGGGGGACCCACACCAGTACAGCTCATTCATGAAGGACTGCACCCCATGGAGGAGTGACCCACAGGACAGCAGTTTGTGAAGAACTGTTGCCCGAAGAATGGACTCATGACGGAGAGGTCCATCAGGGACTGTCTCCCCTAGGAGGGACCCCATGGGAGCAGGGGAACAACTTCTCTTTCTGAGCAGCAACAGAAACAACAACTGACCATAACCCCCATTCCCTGTCCCCCTGCACCGCTGGGGGCGAGGAGGGAGAACATGAAGGAAGGAGGGGTGGGAAGAAGGTGTTTTTAAGACTGTTTTATTTCTCGCTCTTTGGCTCTTATCCTGTTTGTAATAAATTCAATTAATATCCCCACTTTGAATCTGTTTTGCCCGTGAAGGTAATCAGTAGCTGACCTCTCCCAGCTGTTATCTCAACTCATGAATCCTTAGCTGTTTTTTTTTCTCTCTTCTCTGTCCAGTTGCAGAGGGGAGTGAGAGAGTGGCTTGAGTGGGTACCTGGCATTCAGCCAGGCTCAACCCCCTACAGCTGGTCACACTGGAACACATTCACAGTCTTACGGGGACAAACCATGGACTCCTAAGCTAATACAACCCAACAAGGAAACACCAGGAAACTATCTCAAAGGAATTAAGGGGTGTTCCTCTAGAAAGGCAACACAGCCAACATCCCAGCTGAGGTGCCTTTACACCAATGCACGCAGCATGGGCAACAAACAGGAGGCATTAGAAGCCACTGTGCTGCTAGAAAGCTACGACCTTGCTGCAATTACTGAAACTTGGTGGGATGAATCCCATGACTGAAATGCGAATATTGATGGCTACAGGCTGTTCAGAAGAAACAGGGGAGGAAGGAGAGGCAGAGGGGTTGCCCTCTACATGAAGAGGCAAATTGAATGTGAAGAGCTGTCTCTGAAGAACAGCCATGAGCAGGTTGAAAGCCTGTGGGTAAGAATCAGAGACTGAGGCAACAAAGGGAACCTTGAGGTTGGTGTCTAACTACAGGCCACCTGATCAAGGGGAGCCCATTGACAAAGCCATCTTACTTACAGGAGGCATCATGCTCACAGGCTCTTGTCCTGCTGGGGAATTTCGACCACCCCAACATATGCTGGGAAAGTAGCACAGAGAGCTGCAGGCAATCCAGGAGATTCCTGGAATGCATGCAGGATAACTTCTTGTTCCAGGTAATAGACAGCCCTACCAGAGGGGGTATGGTACTGGATCTGATGGTCACCAGCACAAGCGAGCTAATTGGGGACATCAGGATTGGAGGCAATACAGGCTGCAGTGATCATGCATTGGTGGAGTTTTCAATCCTGAGGAATATGGGTCAGGTAAGGAGTAAAGTTAGACCCCTGAACTTCAGGAAAGCAAACTTCCAGCTCTTCAGGGAGACAGTCAGTGGGATCCCCTGGGAGACTGCCCTTGGGGATAAGGGAGTGGAACAAAGCTGGCAGATCTTTAAGTAAGCTGTCCATAGAGTGCAAGAGCTGGTAATCCCCAGGAGCAAAAAATCAGTTAAGGAAGGCAAAAGACTGGCATGGCTGAGTAGGGAAATGCTGGTCAAACTAAAAGTCAAGAAGCAAACGCACAGGCAGTGGAAACAAGGACAGGTAACCTGGGAAGAGTATAGAGATTCAGTTGTGCAGGGATGGGGTGAGGAAGGTGATACCTTGGAGTTTTGATGTTTTGATTTTTTTTTATTTTTTTAGACCTTAGAAGTCGTTATGTAGTAAATGTAGATTTTAGAGTAGCAGCATATTATCCCTTTACCCTTAACACACCAGCTCAAACCCCTGTTACCCATTCCCATATCAATTCCCTAAATTCCACAGCCTGTTTAGTCTCTTTTTCAAGGTAGAATTGTAGAACACCCTAACCCTACGGAACAAGATACAGCCGTAGACCCAACAACCTTCAGGCCTAGAATTCTGGAAGGCCTCCAAGGACATTATGTGCTCTGAGGAAGATGAAGATGAAGAAGAGGGGGTTCCAAAACACCCCCACACCAATTCCCAAGAGGCGTGGTGGGGGCAGAACCTGGGTGGTAACAAGATGGGGATTGGGCGAAAATCATTATAAAAACTGTGGACATCTGTATTTCGAGAGCGCACTGAGGGTATTCCAGAAAACCTGGGGGCTCATTAAAACTTTTGAATCCTTATCTTATCTCTTACCTAATTTGGCTTGGAGTCTTTTTTTCCCCACAACCATTTAGGCAACAAAGGCAAAGGTAAAGCTGGAACTGAACCTGGCAAGAGATGCAAAGAAAAACAGGAAGGGTTTCTATGGGTACATTAATCAGAAAAGGAAGGTCAAAGAAGATGTATGCCCCCAATAAACAGCACTGGTAAACTGGTAACAACGTATGAGGAGAAGGCTGAGGTACTTAACATTTTTGCCTCAGTCTTCAATGGTAACATCTCTTCCCAAACCTCTCGAACGGATGGACAACAGGATGGGGACTGGAAGAGAAAAGTCCCTCCCACTGTAAGTAAAGATCAGGTTCATGATTACCTGTGGAACCTGAATGTACATAAGTCTATGGGACCCGATGAGATGTATCCCAGAGGCCTGAGGGAATTGGCTGATGTAGTTGCCAAACCACTCTCCATGGTATTTGAAAAATCCTGGCAGTCAGGGGAAGTCCCAGGTGACTGGAAAATGGGAAACATGGTGCCCATCTTTACAAAGGATAGAAAGGAGGACCCTGGGAACTATCCACCTGTCAACCTCACCTCTGTGCCTGGGAAGATCATGGAACAGATCCTCCTAGAAGCTATGCTAAGGCACATGGAGGACAGGGATGTGATTACAGACAGCCAGGATGGCTTCGCCAAGGGCAAGTCCTGCCTGATGAACCTAGTGGTTTTCTATGATGGAGTGGAGAAGAGAAGGGCTACAGATGCCATTTATCTGGACTTCTGTAAAGCCTTTTACAGGGTTCCTCACAATATCCTTCTCTCTAAATTGGACAGAGATGGATTTGATGAGTGGACTATTAGATGGATAAGAAAGTGGTTGGACAGTTGCATCCAGAGGGTAGTGGTCAACGGCTCAGAGCCCTGATGGACATCAATGACAAGTGGTGCCACTCGGTGGTCCATATTGGGACCAGTACTGATTAATATCTTCCTTAATGACATAGATGAAGGGATTAAGTGCACCCTCATCAACTTTGCAGGCAACACCAAGCTGAGTGGTGCAGTTGACATGCCTGAAGAGATGGGATGCCATCCAGAGAGACCTGGACAAGCTGGAGAAGTGGGCTCACGGGAATCTCATGAGGTTTAATAAGACCAAGTGCAAGGTGCTGCACGTGGGTCAGGGTAACCCCCGGTATCAATACAGGCTGGGGATGAACAGACTGAGAGCAGCCCTGATGAGAAGGACTTGGTGGATGAGAGGTTGGACATGAGCTGGCAACAAACATTTGCAGCCCAGAAAGCCAATCGTATCTTGGGCTGCATCAAAAGAAGAGTGACCAGCAGATCAGGGGAGGTGATTCTGCCCCTCTACTCTGCTCTGCTGAAACCCCCCCTGGAATACTAAATCCAGTTATGGGGTCCCCAGCACAGGAAGGACACTGACCTGTTGGAGTGAGTCCAGAGGAGGGCCCCCAAGTTAATCAGAGGGATGGAGCACCTCTCCTCAGGGAAATGGCAGTTACTTCACTTTTGCCATAACTGAGGTAAGGTATGTGTTGGAAAGGTTAGGAGGTCATTTTGTTCTCGGACTGGTCATCTCGCTATTTTCCGGTCTCGGCTTGCCTCCACTTTTCCTGAATCCTGCTCTACCCCCATCCCAGATCTGCTCAGATTTCATCAGAGAGGTTTGACCCATCTGCAGAGGAACTTTTTGGGAAGGAGGTCACCCTTTCCCTCCTCCACTCCTATGTTTGGCAGCAGATTGTGCACATCAATGAAAGGGGGGAAATCCAGGCCACAGCCAGCCACAGACAGTTTGAGTTCGTGGGAAGAACCCCCTTTTTCTCTTTTTCCCCCTTCCCCTTCTTGGTGGGGGGGAAATCTCCATTTTCAGCTTCTCCTGCACACTGGGGCTCCACATGGCGACCACCAGAGCCCAACAGCGCCCCCTGCTGACTACCACCCAACAACTGCAGGCTCTGCTCCTCCAGTGATACAACAGCAACCCCTTCTGATCGTGGTTAGAATTGTGCCAAAGGACGGGGATTATCGAACTGTTTCCTTTCTGAAGGGGACTTTTGGGTACAAGATTATTGTTTGGTTGTTTCTGTATTCTTTTGTTGTTCTACCAATACACATATATCCTTTCATAAAGGGCTGTTAATTTTTCTTTCTCCATACTTCCTCAATTAGAGCCTCTTAATTTTGGATTTACAATTGCTTAGAGGTGGGAGTTTGGTCTTCCTCATAACTCACCCTCCTTAACTAAACACTTCAGTCTCATTAAACTGAGACAATTAGCCATGATTTATTATGACTTGAACAACATACAGTTATCCACAGATCCAGACAAAGTCTAATGCACATGACCCATGTGGAGGAAAATTTTTGTGGGGTGCAATATCATCATATACTAAAGCATTGGCAACAAAACTGGGGAGAAGTGCCACCAAAAGTGGATCAAGTGGCTCACCAACTGTGGGAATAGAAAGAGAATAACTCCTCCACCATCATCTTGACTGTGGAGAAACTGTCTGAAAAAACATCCCAGGAGTTCCAGAAATTCAGAGAGGATATGTACTACTCCCCACATGTACAGACCAGTGCCTCAGCTATTAACAGTAGGCATTCTTTTGCTACAAGAGGGGAGATATAAAAGCTACACACCATGGGGCACCCTGTGGTTTTACCTGAGGGACCATGGAGAGGACATGAGGAAACGATAGAAAATCATCCTCAACCCTACAGGCACAAGTGTGGTAATTGCAGGGAAAAACAATCACAAATAATAATAATAATGGCCAGTCTTCACGAGTGAAGATCCGGGGAAGGTCTTTCCACCTTCCAGCCTGCGCATTGGATTTTTTAGGTGAGACACAGTGTGCGCGGAACTGAGCCCACCCTTTAATCCTAAGGTTCATCTGCCGGGGCCAAGCAAGCTTGGACGGTGGCAGCGAGGTCCTTAGGACGTAGGTGGGTTGCCTTTAAGGGCTAACGAGCCCCACCTGCCTGGGAGTGGCCCTGACCGGGAATCGAACCCGGGTCTCGGCGGTGATAGCGCCGCGCCTTTACCACTAGACCACCAGGGGCTCCGTACAATCACAAATGGAGTGTAAAAAACTGATAGAAGCAGTGCATGGCCATTTCCTGAACTTCAAGAAGCGAATTGTTTTGACTGTTGAAATGGTCACGAGTCAGGGGGATGGAAGCACCTGTGCATGGTGCGTTTTGGACGTGCTGTTGCTACATAGTTACCACCTGCCATAAGGCATGGCACCACTGACCCTATATAAGCAAGTGTCAGATATGTGCCTGGGGGATAGAGATTGAAGACATGCTGTGAGATTAGGGGCACACTGCAGGGAAATTGAAGGTGGGAAATCCTGCACCCTACACGCGTTGTGGGGACACACTGCAGTCTCCACACTTGCAGAGCAGCTGTGGGACTTCCCCACACTTGCAGAGCGGCAGCAGGAATTCCCCCACATTCCAGGGAAATCATAAACACACCAAGAGGGGAAATTCTGCCCCCAAACACACACTGCCTGACATGCACAGCAGGCACCACACGCTGGTGTCTGCACATGCTGCAGACATACAGGCTGCTGCCTGCACAAGAGCTGCACCCTGGCACTGCCTGCTCAGCACTGCAACCAGCTGGGCTGGACCCAAGATGCACTGTGGGGTCGACACATGCTGCAAGAACTCCACTCATACCACAGAGACAAAAGACTGGAGAACAACTCAACAGAGACTCCCCCCATCATCAAGGAGAAAATCCAGTGCTGAGTTCATGGTGGTGGAAAAGTCTTTTCTGTGCTTCTTGTAGTTATTCTTAGCTTTTCCCACTTGTCTCTATTTTTCCTTCTTTCTCTCTCTGCCTCCTTTATAGTTAATAAAGTTGAATTATTGTTTTGGATACCAACATTTGACCTTGTTTGTGTCTTAATCTCACTTTCAGGTATATTTGAACTTAATTCCTCCCTGCATTTACGGATGGAGGCACACTTTGCCTCTCTGTACCTGTGTTGGAACATGGGGGTTCTTCCAGGAAAGTTGCTGCTCCAGTCTCCAGTGGGCAGGTCCCCAGGCAGAACAGAAGAGCTAATTTTACTCATGATCCTATGAAAAGGAATTCTAATCTGTCTGTGAGAAGTAAGTTGAGGATCCTATGACCAGGACTAGACAGGCCCTGCTTCCAGCTGTGTGGAGGAAAGCGACAAGGAAGTTTACTGGACTGTGTGGATCAGATGACCTGGCACATCAGACCCACAGGCATATAAGGTTCTAGTAGATACTGGTGCACAGTGTACTCTAATGTCATCAAGCTATGAAGGGGCAGAACCCATTTGTATTTCTGGAGTGACAAAGGGATCCCAACAACTGACTCTATTGGAGGTTGAAATCAGCCTGACTGGGAATGAGTGGCAAAAACTGACTGGCCCAGAGGCTTGATGCAGCATCCTTGGCATAGACTACCTCAGGAAAGGGAGCTGACTTGGAGACAGAGGAAATTAAAGAGTTGTCTTCCTTGCCCGGTCTCTTGGAGGACCCTTCCATTGTGGGGTTGATGAAGGTCAAGAGGTGTTGATTGCTACCACAAAGGTGCACCAACCAAGATTCCGTTTCTCATCCATAAGCTGACTTGTCAACTGGAGAGCCAAGGAGTGATCAGCAGGACCCACTCACTTTTTAGTAGCCCCAAATGGCCAGTGCAGAAGTCTAATGGAGAATGGAGGCTGACAGTAATCATGGCCTGAATGAAGTCACACAACTGCTGAATGTTGCTGTACCGAACATGTTGGAACTTCAATAGAAATTGGAATCAGAGTTTGTCAGGGGTGGAGCAATGGAGGCCTACAGAGAATGGAGACAGATGCAGAAAGGCTGCGAAGAAACCTCGGAGGAAGAAATCGATCTAGAGGTGCTTTGACAGCTGCAAATGCAGGAAGCGCCTGAGATCCAGCGATAAGACGCCGCTTCCACAA